GCCATTGTTGCTTCAGCAACTCTCTAGTGCAATTAAAGAGACAATTAAAAAAAAATCTAACTGATCCTATCTGGAACGTGAACATCCTTCCCTAATTTGAACTGAGAGGCTTTCCCTAGTTTGCCTGCATCTCTGTTTTCCCAAGAACAATTGACTTAGGTTGTCAGGCCAATCAATGCCTGCATCCCTGGAAATCCACATCATCCCTCCAAGTTTGAGTCTACATTTTCTCCCAAATACCTTATTAAAATAAAGCAATGGTCTAAGGTTGGTCTGAGTTCCGTCGTTTATTAGTCCTGCCAGCTTTTGATAGAAATGGTAATAAACACAGGAAGGGCACAGTAAGTATGAATGAACGCGTATCTGAGAGAATAAATGAACAAAACAGGACACATTTTGAAAAATCTCATGAACAAATCTCCAACTGAATAATGAGCACCCCTGAACTTGAGTGGAGAGTAACACATATTAGGGAAATGCATTAGAAAGAATATCTAGGCCAGTTTTTGTGACGTATAAAACAATCCTGCCTATGATTTAATATGTTGCTTTTGCTGAGCAAGTATCTACTATATAATTATTGCTGAATTCTTCAGTATGTTAAAAAAGTTCACTTTAGGATTATCGATGGATTCAGCCTTATTTTTAAAAGTTTCAGTTAAAAATGGCATGTAGAACAAGGGTCACTCCCCATTACCAGCAGGAGACCTTGTCCAATTGACTCTTACTTCTAATGTTCTTTGTTACCACTGAGTTGGTTACAGGCTCATGGAGGAGAAACTGTGTCATATTCCTGTGTATCTTCAGCCACCACAGTTCTGGTATGTAACAATTATTAAGTGGTTACTTAAATTTCTTCTTTCTCATTCCTACTGCCATCAGCCTGGCCCAGGTGTTCTTTGTGCTTAGAATATTATGATGATTACCAGAAATTTCTTTCTTGCATACCTGACTCTATGCTTGACTACCCTATGCCTGCCCCCCCTAAATCGTCATATATACTGTTGACCCTTGAACAATGTGGGGGTTAGGGACACCCTGCGGATACCAAAGTCTGCAGATGGCTCAAGTCCCTTATATACAGTGGCACAGAACAATGCATACAGGAGGCCCTCTACATCCACAGATGCCCAGCTGTGGACGGGATATCATGGAGGCCGAGGCCAATGTAACCTGCCATCCATAACTCATTTCACAATTTTGTATTTATCCCTTGTTACTGATTAGATTAATTAGGCAATCAATTTGAATGCTTGAAATAAACTTGTGCCTTTAAAACATCATTATTTATTGGGGTTCTGTGTAAGGTTTGAAGGCCTAACGACTCAAGTCTCAATTCTTTAGCCTTTATGACAAGTTTACTGTCTCGTACTCACACATACCTATATGTGCTCCCTAATCTCTACGGCTCCTTCTGAATCTTGGTATTTTAATATTTCCATATTCAGGTTAGTTTCCCAGTTTAGACTGCACCATCTCTTCCTCTCTGCTTCCCTAGGTTAACCCATCCGAAGGCAAGTTCAGGTTCTAATTATCCTTAACATTTCTTTACTACTCAGTCTAAGCTTTTTTGACCTCTTAGGTATCCATCCCTCTCTCTCTATATATAATTTGTCTGGTCTCCCACTGGGTAATAACAGATCTCACATCTCTCTCTGGATCCCTAAATGCCTAGCATATGGTATGTATGCAATGTTTGTTTTTTTCCTTAGGACTGTGAATTATTGCCTCTACCATTTGTTTTATTCCAACTAGAGCTATGTTGAAAGCTTGCTTTTTGCCCAATAAGCTTTCATTACTGTACCAAAGGTTCCCATCTCATATTTATCCTAGAAATTTTCTTTTGATAGTTCCATTCAACCCCTAGTTTCCACTGACTAGTCTGCAAAAATAGCTCTCTTCTGGCCTCTGCTGGTTAATAGCACACAACTGCTTGCATAAGTGCACGCTGCAGGACTCAAGTTTCCCAAGAAACCATGCTAACAGCATCAGTTCTGCAAGGAGAAATATTCTGAGATGCCTCCTAAACTGCTAGAATTGTTGAAAACAGATAGCTGGATGGTAAAATTTGAGATATATTTCCAATGCTTATTCCTAATGTGGCATTTGCCAAAATGAAATTCATGCTTCTTAAGATGTCAGGGATAACAGAGTAAGATCCTGAGGTGTGTGTTGCTTTAAAAGCTTGTTTCTTTGAAAGAAAATTTGTCAAATTTTTCCTGATTCTGATACTATATTCAGCACTGTGCCTGACAAAGTGCTTGATAAATGTTTGATAACTAAATGTATTATTTGGTTTATGTAGCACTATTGTTTTTTTGTAACTGGATTATGAAGCAGAGACCACCTGGGGAGGAATCCTTGCAGTCCTTCAGTTACTTCTTTTAGAGGGTCTAAGAATGTCCTCTACACACTTTTACATACATACGCTAGATGCAGTTTAAACTGAGTTGCTAATACATTAAGCCTACAAACAGCAGCCTTTGCAGTTGGGCTTTGGGAAAACTTTTTAATTCATGAAAGGTGTTAGGGAATATTCTGTTTCACTTTGCTCTCTCGATGTGACATATTTTGTCTTCTACATACATCTGGGCACCCACGGTTAACTCATTCAAACCACTGCCTTTGACAATCTTAGGTTTCAAACGGTTTAATCAAAATACCTGCTTGTTTAAAGGCAGGAAGGTGTCATTCAAATGTTAAGTGCCGACACACAGGTTCTACATGCTTTCAAAGTTTAAATCAGAGGCCTTAACTTTGAAAAGCTCACAGGCAACCTGACACTATATTTATCTATATATAAACTGATTGACATATACAGTGGTAACTTGTTTTTCAAACGTCGCCATTGACGAACATTTCGGTTTCTGAACGCCGTAAACCCTTAAGTCAATGCTCCGGTTTTCGAACACGCCTCGGATGTTGAACATGCCACGCGGCTTCCGCTGAGGGCAAGATCCTGAGGCCTAGCTGTCGGCTGTTGATCCCTCGGTTTTCAAATGTTTCAGAACTTGAACGGTCTTCCGGAACGGATTACATTAGAAAACCCGAGGTACCACTGTATTTGTATGAAAATATTGTCTAACATGCAATGCTTTACAAATGGAGAAAGCCCTTCTACATAATCTTTTTAAAGAAAAGTTTGAAAGGCACAATCTGTCAGACCTTGCAGTTTTGCACTTAAGTGAATTCTTCTAATTCAAGTGTTTTTGAAAAGCATCTATTTCATGACTTCACTTAAAGGTAGAGCTAGTTAGTAGCAGATTAAAAGGGAGAAAGACCTCAATTTACCCAACCTTCTACAAGGTGACTGAGGATGAAATGAAATGCTAGTTATAACGGGTTCGGTCGTTGTCAAGCTACTATCAGATAGACCATCTCTCGCTGGGTCTGCTTAGGCTGCTTTTAAAATAGCCAAATCGATAGGAGCTCAAACTGCACATCCTGCGGTGCCCTACTCAAACCAGGAACCTCTCAGTCTCCTGGCCTTTAGAAGCACTCTGCCACAGTAGGTACAAGATCTGATTCTGGAATTAGGCAACCTGAGGCACTAATTTCATCTCTCAGTTATTACAGGAAGCTGAGTGACAATTCTGGCCATTGAGAAACAGAGAAAGTTATTGGGTGGAGCCTTCAGGAAAATTTTTTAAAGAGGAACCAAAACAAATAATGTGCTTTTTTCCCCCCTTTCTCTTCTTCCTGCCCAGAACATGGACATGATGCTAGAGGTGGCCTAACTACTCTGTAGTCACAAGGATGAAGGTCACACAAGAGCATACAAGAGCAGAAGCTAGGAGAAACCTGGGTCCATGAGGGCATCACAGAGCTGCATTGCCAGCTTTGACCTGCCAACCTGGGCTTTTTAATGATGAGAAAAAGAAAACCAGTCATTTGTTGTTTAATCTGCTTCTTGCATCCACTTTTGGCAGCTTAATGTTAAGCTGATATATAAATTCATAAGATTGAGGATTAAAATAGAAAAACCTATGTGAATAGCATAATACAGCTCCTGGCATAGAGTATGTGAACAATGAATGGTTTCTACTATTTGGGGGAGATTAGGTAACTGCCAGCAAGAACAAAAATCAAACAGGATAAATAATTTGGGAAGGGAAGAGAAGTGCTGAATAAAAGTTATGATAAGATTGTAAAAGGTTCAGAATCACAGTCAGAGCCAAACAACGTACAGGGGATCTGACATATATATAGTAGATACTCAATTTAAGGGATTTCTTTTCCCATCCTCCCTGTGAGAACACAAACTGAAGTCATTTATTCACACGAGAACCTTGGTCAGTGAGAAGGGCAAGACTAAGCAAAGATCTGAGAAGTACAGAATATACCTGCAAGATTACTTAGGTTTTAGTGAGGCATTCCCTTCAGTGTCTATGTAGTCCTGCTTATGTAATACGATCAAGACATGGATTAAAATACACAAAAAAGACACTGATAAGCAAAATGCCACTAGGAAAGGTGACACAGATGTGTTCAGTCATCTTAATGACTCAGACACTAGGTCCAAGAGGAGTAAAAGTTGCTAAACAGAGAAATCTATTTTGTTGCCAAATTGGAGGTCATGATATTAGTCAATCCAGAGAAACAATAGAACTAAATTTGAACATATGGGGAGAGAACTCAACAAATTCAGCTTGAAAAATGAACTGGGGAAAAAAAGTATAATAAAACTATGTGAGAAGCTAAAATATTAGCCTCAGATGAGAGGAAAAAAAGCTGCTATTTGTGGACACCTCGAAAGGAATACACTATACAGTAGTACATTTCAAGTCAACAAAAGAAAAAAGCTGGACAGTTAAAAGGACTATTAAAATTTAGCCTTTTAAAGGCTTAAATGTTAGATATTGAAATGACCGACAGAAGAGCAACTGATTAAGAGAATGAAATTTATAACGATTACCATGAAGTCACTGCTGAATGTAAATACCCAGGAAAGACGGAGTAAAAAGAAAAGATCTGAAAGGCAACAAATCACAGACAACTACCATGTTTTCAAAACTGTAATTGGGTAATACCAAACAAAGTAAATAAACAGCTCTTAAGTCAAGAGTGCAAAATGAAAGCACCTTATTGTCTAAAGGTGCAAAAGCAAGAAAATAATATAAACATCCATATTTTAAGTAGTTGTACGGTGGGTAAATGTTGCTTGAAAACATCTTCAATAGAAAAATGATTTATAAATCAGTTTACAGAAGATTAAAAAAAAATCAGTGTTTAATACCAACATTAGCTATAAATAACTAGAAGAAAAAAAACACTTGTTCTCTATCATGATTCTGCTTCAACATCTATGTCTTCTGCTCCTTGCCTTTTGGAGAGAAGACTGCATTGTAAGGCTGCCGTCTTTTTGGGCGAGGACAGGGATCGAGATCTTCCTTAATGTAACCTTAAAACATTACAAATTTAGAAGATGTATTAGCAACATACATTTCTTTCAGCACATATCCAGTAAACATTTGTCTTATTTAACGCCTTCTAGGTTTACGTGATTCTTCTGATTATTAGCTGAGTGATGCTGACGAATGATTTCACTATTTAGCACCAGTTTCCTCATTTATACTAACAATCGTAGCAGCAAACATTTGTCAAATGTGTTACATACATTATCTCAGGTAACACTCGCAGTCCTTTGAAGTAGCTTCCACTATACCTATTTCACAGGTGAGGTAATGGAGACCCAAGGAAGTTAAATCACTCAAGTTCCTAAAGGTAGGAAGTAGAAGAGCTGGGACCTTGCCTGAGATCTAACTCCAGAACCAGAGCTCTTAAGCACTTTCCTAATCTGCCTCCCACAGGTTGCAATGGGGACAATGGCTAAACACAACTCTTTACTACACTATTATGATACATTCCAGGTGCTAATTAAAAAGGCTTTTTGTAGCAGCAGTTTCATTAGATGACGTGTCCCTATACTCTTCAGATTATTCTGTTCTCCTAAAGTGTGTACAACCATGTAGTTTGCAGGGGAGGACTGTCCTCCAACCATATGCCTAGGCCATATCAGCGGTGCGAACACAGGTTCTCATCCAGACCATCTAATTCTATATGTTGACCAGGCAGAGACGTCATGTCACAGAGGACTTAATCTGACTTGTTAAGGGGGAAAGCGGAAATACAGTAATGGCTCTCAAAGACTTTGTATCTTTTAGAAAAACTACCTTACCACTAAATACCTGGAGCATTAAAGTTACATTCTCAAATTATATTAAATATAAGTGTCATGTTAAATATGAATGAGCCAGTTGCATGTCAACAATTTTTGGAGCAAATAAAGGTCCTTTTTACTCATACATGGTTTAAAAATAACCAGGATTCTGGATAAGTGAGGTTTTAAAATCTAAAGTTCAGAGTAGTTGCTTTAAAAACATAAACCTTGTTGGCAACTTTCGTAAAACTATTTTAGTAAAAGTTGTTTTGATGAAAGCATGAAGGAGCAATTGCTTTCTGAAATTTGAATGATAAGCCAGGATAATGCATACACAATCATGCTAAGTGATTATAAATAATATCTGATTCCAATGAAAGTAGCTGAAGAGTTGAAGGTAAGCCTTTTATCTTTAGGAATTTGTTTTTTATGTCATAAAACTAATACCCAAGGTAAAGAGGACCATGGAGAAAAGGTTAGGCCTGTATATGTATGTATTGAAAAAATTAATTTGAAAATGTTATAATCTATGCTCTCACCTCTTTCCATACAAGTCTGAGTGGAAGGAAAACCAACTTCCCAAAAATTCTCTGGTGTGTTGGGTGGAATGTAGCGGAATCGGTGTCTTGAACAGGAAGCCAACTTCTTTTCTCTTTCTTCTGCTGGAATGTCTGCATAATACTAAAAATAAAAACTGGTAAGTTTTCCACTTAGGAATAATAAATGGAGTGTTATGCTTACTGATTATAAGCCTGAAGCTAAGAAAGCTATTTATTAAAGTATTAGGCATCCTAAGGAAACTTAATACTCTGTGATGATAGTATTAATTACTTACTAATAGTAATTACTGCTGGTCTGTGAAATGTTTGCTTCACAAATGAGAAAAGGAGCTTGTATTATAATGCAAATCAACATATTGCCTCCATTATCAGTAAAGTCTAGAATGGAAAAAATGCCAGCTGAACTTTACAATGTGCTTAGTGACGCGGCTGATTTACTGACTGGTGCAAACTCTTCCCCTGTCAGACCAGTAACAGAAATGCAGAGAACTGCACTTTGAATAGCACTTTCTCATTTGTTATTTGGATGTGTGTGTTTTGAAATAATTTTCCTATCTCTACAGTTTTTAAAAATAAAAGTTTAGCTTTGAATGCTACAGGCTTCACGACTTCCCCTTAAATTGTACTTTTCAATTAGGATCAAAGGCATCTAATTTTTTGCAACTGCAATCATAAAGAACCTGAACTTTACGCAAACAAGGATAAAACTTGTATGTCCAAACTGAACAGGTCTTCAAGCTCTAGATCTAAAGAAAACAAAGCAGTAGTGCAAAGTATAATAGAACACAGATGTGGAATCACACAATCCAGCTAATTCTACTTTACAGTTGAAAAACTAAAAGTCAAAGTGATAATTTACCAAAGATATCATGTATTGAAAGTGGCAGACTCTGGACTAAAATTTAAGTTTGAAGTAAAAGTTTTTCATACATTTTTCTTTTCTGTAACTTTAATTAAAGACTTTTCGAGCATCTCTGGAACAACTTTTTTGGGGAGGGTATCTTTTTCACCGTTCTCAGGGCCATGAATATAAGCCTTTGTTACCTTAGCCTGGGAAGGGGGATGAGATGCCCTTAGAGAATTATGGTTATCAATCAATGTTAGAGAAATGCTACTACCAAATTACAACATATTCACAAATGATGCAGGCTAGTGTGGCTGTAACACAGTGAGCAAGTGGGAGAGTGGTAGGAGATGAAGTCAGAGAAAATTGGGTACCAGAGTTCGCTGTCCTTGATAAGGACTTTAGGTTCTATTTATTAGTGAGATGAGAAGACTTTAAGGGTTCCGGGTAGAAGAACGACATGATTTAACTTTTATTCTAAAAAGATCATTAAGAAAAAAGTCCACTTGTTGCTGTGTTGAAAATAACCGTGGAGAGAGAAGAATGAAAAGAAAAGGAGACTAGGGACGGGGACATATGGGAACCCTCTGTACTACTCAGTTTTGCTGTGAACCTATAACCATTCAAAAAAAGTTTATTAATAAAAAGCCAAACACAAGGAAGTCACTTAGAAGCTATTTCAGTAGTTTAGATAAAACACAATGCCTTGGTCCAGGGGGTTACTGGTGGAGATAAGAAGTGACTGGAAATGGGGTATCTTTTGAAGGCACAATCAGGGGGATTTGCTGATAGATCAGTTATTGAGATAGAAAAGACTACAAGGTTTTTGTTTAAACAACTAGAAGAATGGACATGTAGTAGACTCAGAGGTGAGGTTTAGCAGTTGGGGGCAGAAATTGAATATTTGCTTCTGGACATGTGAAATTAGAGATGACTACTACACACCCACATGTGTATTACATATTGCACATGTGGAATAGGCAATGGCATAAATTTAGGAATTGTGAGCTTATAGAGAATATTTAAACACATGGGACTGGCACTCATGGTCATGAGGGGGTAGATTTACTCTCCTACCTTAAACTAAAAAAATGGAATAAAATGCATGAAACAACGTTTTTCAGAGACAGGATAATAGACAGCAAAGGAAATTATTCCTGAGAGAAGGAAAGTAATTAACAGTGTTTCTAGCAAAGAAGAGTTTTTCTAATTGGTAATATTAGTTCCAGATTGTGTAGTTATGATTAGAACTAAAAACTGGAGGTTTACTTGGTGTAGACCATGTTCCTCAGTTAAGAAATCATGATATATTCAATTTGTGTATAAAAACTCATGATTCAAGAAGTTTAGCTTATATTGCCAAACTGCTTTCCAAAATAGTGAGGCCAATTTAAGTTTCCATTGTTAGTGTATGAGAGCATATTTCTCACCAAATGTTTACACCTGTACTGCAATCTACTCATACATAACTTTAATGCACTTGGTCATCAAATTTACTAGCCCATAGTTATTAAAAAGGGAATTTAAAAGAGAAAGTAAATCGCTGGAAGCTGACATCTGATAGCTAATGGATAACACTGAAGAAATAATAACAGCATATTTCAAGAAAACAGAGGACCTGCCTTGAACTATTTAGTCATAGGACTGTTAGTACTATCTACATATTACAACTGTACTACCCAAGACAGCCAATATACAAAAGGAAAATATAATTGTGTTAGAAAGATGGAGTCTATTCATTACATTTTGCTTAGAAAGGAAAATGTCAGGGGGAAAAAATAAGAGCTTATTATTGTAAACACTATTTAAAAAAAAAATTATGAGCATATCTCATTTCCAGAGAGTGCTGGTGTAATAAATTTTATAAAGTTTCCTATTGAAATATTAAAATTTCCCCCAAAGAGTATACATATAAGAGCCTTTGCTGTAACATAACTCAAGGGGAAAAATTAAAATAAATACAAATCAATATAAAAAAGAAAAATGTCACAAATGTCTTAAGGTGGTAATAAGAACTTGTGCTGAGATGCCAGATTCACGAATAAAAATCCAAGAGAAATTAAGGGCTTTCATTTTTATCTATTTATCTCTCAGGTCCCTACTCTCTGTTTATTTACTCTGTATTCTTGGCTTAAACTAGGTTTCTACATACAAATATAATTTGTATCTATGATTTTTAAATCATGCTTTCATGATCTATAAAGCCATCCTGTAAAAAAGTCCCAACTGAAAAAAAAAAAGAAAAAAAAGTCCCAACTGAACAGCATTTATAGTAGTACTTACAATTTCACATTCCTTACATGTGTGTCCAAGCAATTTTCTTCTCTCTTCTTTTTTCCGAACCACCTCAATATGAGGAAAATTTTGTAAGCCAGTCTCTCTGGGGGAAAGAAAAATTAAATTTAAAAATCCATTTGTTATTACAAAAATCTTTGGTTTAAGTTTTAAATTAACAAAGGTGAGAGCTCAGGGGAAGAAATAATCCCAAAACATTCATTCATATTACTTAAAATATTCATTCACTATGTTAAAAAAACTCAAATATTTCTTCCTTCATTCTTCAGTAAATATTTATTAAAAGCCTACTATATGTGAGGTATTTTTATGGACATTTTTCTCTGAAAAAGATAACTATTACTTCCTATTTTTTGCCTCTGATTGGCTGAAAATAATAATTAGATTAGGAGGTGAAGTATGAAACAGCCTAATTAAAAAGGAATACTGCCCTGGCCAGTGGGTCAGTTAGTGACAGTCTGTATTATTCTGAGACTGTTTTGTGTGTGCATTATGGAATACAGTTAAATAAGGAATGTTGTTGGTGGCACCAAGAAGTGGAATTTTCAGGTGGGAAAGTAGGTATAGATGTGACACAGGAGGTTATGTAAAAATCCTACAGGTCTGAACTTGAATTGGAGCTATCAGTATAAAGAAGTATAGTTCATCTTAAAAAACAAAATGAAACAAAAACTTTATTAACTCTGTTCACCTAAAAAGTCTAGAAACAATGATAAACAGCTGCAATGAGCAAACTAGTGGCTATACTGTGGCCTAAATACCATTTCTCCATAAAAAATATAAAACATCTAGGGCTCTGGGAGAAATGGTAGATTCTAGGCGCATGGCAGGAAGTGTACAGGGGACATCTATCACACCAGAAGCAAGGAAGCTATGAAAGATGACTAGGGTGGCGTCCATTCAAAGAGGCTTCCACTGGGCAAAGAGGGGACAATTTCAATATCAATAAGGATAATAAACGCAATGGATTGAAACATCAAATATATATATAAATCCATGAGTTAGAACCGATTAACTTAGTACAAACAAAAAACTCCCTAGTCACATTTGAGATGCTAGGATACTATTTCTTTGAAAATAAAGAAAAAGAAATCATTTAGCCACAAAATGACAGCTTTTATCTATTAGAGTCTTACTAGGAATCAATATAAAGTTATCTTAGTCTATCTAATTTCTAAAATTCTTTACAAAAATAGAAGTATAAGGAATAACTGCTTACTGAGTGACTTAATTTGCCAATATCATAACTTAAAGGGAAAGAAGCACAAAAACAATTTGGAATGAATTACTACATGACTGAAAGTTACAGAATTTAGCAGAATGTAGCATTATGGTTCAAAATCAACTTGTTTTGAAGGTTTAAAAATCCTTAGAAAATAATTCTGAAGCACAATCTAAGGCTTACCACCTAAAGTCTTATACTATATAAAAGTTACAGTATATAATTAAAAAATTCCCAAAGTTCAAATAAACTTCACAATAAAACAGAATATTTGTTACAATAAAGCAGAGAAAAATAACTATCACCACTGTAAAAAAAAAAGGGAGGGGGTAGTGATAGTAAAATTTCCTTAATTGTAAAATTTGTCATTTTTGTAAAGCTTGAGTTCCAGTTTTGTCAGGGTCATAAAGTAAAGGAAACACACTGAATTTTAACCGAAGTAGCAATTTTAACAGTTCAGAGATGTTCTGACAAAGAAAGCTCTGTTACAGTTACAGTCACATTGCTGGTATTTATCAAGACCAACTTACCTTTCATCATCTTTAAAATAGGGCTCCACAAATGCTTTCTGTGTGATTTTATCTTGTTTGTCACCATGAGCTGTAAGCAAAAGGAGCACACCACAAACTGAATGCAGAATTACTGAGAAATAATTAGTGGAGTGTGGGGGTGTACCAAAACTTCCATTTTGAGTTTCATACTCTTGACCTCTGGGCAATTTGTTTAAAATTTTTATAACTAATTTTTCCCTTTCTTTTTCATCTACATAATGAGCAGAATGCTAATTATCTTACTTCAAAATTACTACTAGAGATAAAAATCCTATCTATAAAAGTATTTTAGATTTAAAAACTATACATAAAAGTCTCTACAAGGAAGAGAAACTAAAGAAAAGGGGGGGGGGAGTCTCTACATACAGTCTTTTATAAAAGTATTTTAGGCTTTAAAAGAACTCTGATTCTCACTGGATACCAAACAAGACACCTTTTAATGTGTTTCACTTATTTGTCCTATTGATTTTTATAATGTGTCCTTAAGGTAGGTTATAACTAGGGAATAAAGAGATTAAAAAATTTTATCAGAAAATTGAGTAAGGACTAGAAAGTAAGAACTATAGCTCATGGACCCGAATCCCAAGTTGTCTAGACTGAAACAGCCAACTGCTATCATCTGTTCAAATAATCAAAATTTACTTAGCATCGTGCCAAGTTCTGGGCATGAAGTGTACATGCAGTGAGGGAAACAGACACTAAGCAAGCAGACAGCTCAGGCTTATCTGAGGAAGAACATGTAAGGTGGTAACTGATGAACAACAAGAAAAGAGCCATGAGGAGAGGGAGGAGTGGGGAATGTTCTAGGGAAAGGTTCTGAGATGGAGAGGTGGGCAAGTACCAGATCACAATGGGTCTTGGAGGCCAAAAGCAGTCTGAATTGTAAAGTGTAATAGGAAGCCACTGAAGACTTTTTAAAAGAATCTACTTTATTGAGGTATAATTTACATATAAAATACACTGATTTTAAGTGTATTATAAATTTTGACAAATGTATATTCTAGTGTAACACCTACTCAAATCAAGGCGAAGTACATTTCCATCACCCCTAAAAGTTTCCTAGTCCACTGTTTCAAGACTCTTCGTCCCCCATGACCACTAATTTGATTTTCATCATCATAGCTTAGTCATGCCTGTTTTAGAACTTCATATTAATGGGATTCTATAGTAGGTATGCTTTTTTATGTTTTGCATTTTTCTAATCCAACAAGTTTTGGTGATTCATCGATGTTGTCAAGTCTAGTAGTTCCTTCCTTTTTGTTGAAAGGTAGTATTCCTCATGAGTATACCACAATTTATTTGTTTGCCTGTTGATTCCAGTTTTGAGCTATGTTAAATAGCAGTGCTATGAACATTCTTGAACATATCTTTCTGCAAACACGTTGTTATTTTCCTTGGGTGTATACATAGGAGAGGGATTGCTGGGTCACAGGATAGGTGCATACTTAAATGTGAAAAAACTGACCAACCTCAATAAAACTGTTAAAAAACCTGCTAAGCTGTTTTCCAAAGCACAATTTTATACTCCCACCAGCAACACATGAGCGGAGGCTCCAGGGGCCCTTCACCCTCGCTGAAGCTAGATATTACCGTCTTTTTAACCATTTCAGCAGGTGTGACGTGGTATCTTTGTCCCTGATGTCTAATAATGTTGAACACCTTTTCATGTGCTTATTGGTCATTCAAATATCTTCTTTTCATTGAAGGGTTTTTAAGCAAGAAGATAATACAAGCCAATTTACATTTAAAATAAATCTCTTTTGAATTCACTTTTGAATCTCTGTAGAGACTGAACTAGAGAGGAAAAATAACGGATATAAAACGACCAGTTAGGAGGCCTGTGATAGAACAGGTAGAGACAGGAGTGGTTTAGACTAGGGCGGTTGCTACAGAGATGACGTGTTATGAAGTGTATTTTGGAGACAGGACCACCGGGGTGGCAGCCTGGGCGTGGAGGAGAGGTGAAAAGGGCTAATATGACTCACATCTCTATTGTTGGTAACTGCGAGGATAGGTAATAAAGCTCAGTGAGGTGCAGAAAGGCAGGGGAGAATCAAATTTGGGTAAAAAAACTAAAGATTTCTAATTTGAATATATTAAGTTCAAAGTGCATATATCAAACAGGTAGTTGGATTCAAATCTGGGGTTCAAAAGAGAAAGGATGAGGCTGGAAGTAAGTATACAGAAGCATTATCTTCATTTGGCCCCTGAGCAGCATACACTCTCTTTCCCTTGTACTGCATGGGCCACAGCTCCTTCTCAGTTTTCTTTGCTGGTTCTTCCTTGTTTCTCTGACTTTTTAAAGTTGCTACGCCTCAGAGGTCAGAACTAGGAAATGCTTCTCTTTTTTATTTATATTCAATACTTTGATGATCTCATTCAGTTTCACAGTTTTTGACCTCCTGCACCCTAAATCATTTCTTTATTCTGGATTTTTTTTGTCCCAACTCAATAAACATCAACTGCCTACTAAATACCTCTAATGAATGTCTAGTTTAACATGCCCAGAACTGAGCCTTTGATACTCTCCCTCTAACTTGCTTCTTCCTATGAGGGAAGACTTGGGAGAACTTTTTGATATGAGAGTCAAGAAAATGAAATAAACAAATTCTAAATTATATTTCTGGGTGATGGGAAAAATAAAAACGTCTAAAAGTCACTTGGTAGGAAATAAAGAACTTGGCTTAGGTACATTAGATTTAAGCTGTTGAAGAGACACAAAAGTAACAATACTAAGAAATGCAGGTCTGGGATTCATAAGTGAAGTCAAACTAGAGGTGCAGATTTGGGGTCATAATTTCAGAGGTGGTTAATAAACCGTGAGAAAAAACGAGTGTAAGGGAAAAAACCAGTGTCTTGGGGATACTCTAGGAAAAAAAGGTTGACGAAGTTCAAAAGAACAGTGCAGCACCGTATCAAAAGCTTAGTGGAGAAGGAATTCTGGGACGGTCAGGGTGAAATGTAACTTTGAAAGAAAAAGAAATTAATTAGATCTTATAAAAGAATATCCTTTTTCTAAAAAGTGAAACCAATTGGTAAAAGGCCCTTCTTGAAGGAAAAAAGTAAACTGAACAGTTGTAGATTTTTAACACAGAGTTTGCCTGACCAAGTTTTTGCCATAGACCGAGCAAGCAAAACATGCTGCTCTGTATCTTCACTCAGGGTCTCATTCACTCTGAGCTCAGGATTGTCATTTTAAAAACCTGATGAAAGCACAAAGGGGGAAAAACACACACAAGATAGACTGTATCACAGCAGAAGGTGTGCTCATTTAAACCAGCATAAAAAAAACTTTGCACAAGATTAAAAGTTCTGATTGTTTTGCTCACAGTGAGAAAATGAGAAAAGCAGCAAGAATTTTAACTAATTTTCCATTCAGACCATCTATTTAAGAGCTTCACTTAGAGTATTCTACCGCTGGCTGCTACCCTACATTATAAACTACTGCTTCTAATAAAACAGAGTTTAAAGAGACTGATATATATGTATATATACTTAATATAGTTATATTAAGTATTTTGTTTGGAAAGGTAAAGCATTCAAGCAGGACATGAGCCTGAATTTTCTGTAAAATTTCTCTTTTCACTCTATTACAATCATTAATTTATTACTTGAAAAAGAATTTCTCAAAACTTTTTATAAACTTTACACGTGTTATAGAAAAACCTATACAGTACTGAATCAATATTAATTTCTAAGTCCTGATGAGTATTTTATGGTTATATAAGATGTTAACATAAGGGGAAGCTGAGTGAAAGATACAGGGGAACCCTCTGAACTATTTTTGTAATTCTTCTATTAGTCTGAAGGGGAAAAAAAAGAAACCTGTGAAAAAGAAATTTATACAAACAACATGAAACTGTAATAAACATACATCATCCAGCCTCTGTTAATTAACCTGATGACTTAATTTACTGAACTCAGTGTAACTGAGAAGCCATAATTAGAAAGAAAACAGCCTTACTGTTTGGTTTCTTTGTGGTAGCGGACAATTCCTCCTCTTCCTCTGTTACGTGGGGGTAGCTATGTGCCAAACAGGACTCATATTCTTCATGTGTTGTCCGATCAAACATATCTTCCAAGCTATCATTCAGTTTTCTTTCTCCATCTATGTAAGAAAGCACTGATTCAGGGTAACATGCAAGCTTTCTGCTTTCTACATTGACCAGTGTGAAACTTGTAGTAATTGCCACAAAGTAATTCAGATGTGCAGGAGGCAAGAATAAACCCCCAAGTCTAGGTAGTTACTATACATTTATAAAACCTCTATGTTATGGCTTTAAATGTCCATTACTCATGTGAAGAGAATGCTAATGTTTGTTATTTTCATTACAAACATTAAAAATCGTGAAGAGAATGCTAATGTTTGTTATTTTCATTACAAACATTAAAAATCTTTTTCTCCCAATCAGATCATGTATAATTTATACTAAACCAAAAGTCATCCTACCAAAGAAACTGTGAGGAATAGAAAATGAACCATACTATATGGTTAATATGAACCATACCATTATGGTATTCTTAATAATACCATAATGAATAATAAAAAATACTGTTTAAATAAAATGTGTATAAATAGCTGACATTAAAATCTCTATAGATTTTTGCTTACCTGCTTATTTTCCTAAAGTGGCAGCAAAAAGAGTATTTTCTTGCATGACCATTAACATTTGATAGTGTTGATAGGTATAATGAATTCAAATTCTGTATCTGACATGCAAAGTGCTAAATTCATCTTCAGAGTAGTAACTACATTTCCCATTATATAATCACATTTTAAAAAAACATCAGAATTTACTAAAAAACAGAAATAGATCCTGTTGGCTAACGAATTTGACAGAAGCCTACTGAGATCACTCTATAAAGTAATTACCATCTTCTCCCCATCATGGTGCTCTACTGCCCATATTGTATTTTATCTTTCTCCAGCACTTACCATCACCTATCATACCATATATTTATTTGCTTGTTTCTTCCCTATTAGAATGTAAGTTCCATGAAGTAGATACTTTCATTGTGTTTTGTTTGCTCATTGTCTCCAGTTCCTGGAATACTTCCTGGTATAGAACTGCAGCTTGATACTTACTGAATGATTAAACATTTGTTTATTTTTCATTTTGAGAGTCAAATTTCTAGACAAAATAGAACTTCTATGTGCCAGGCAGTGTGCTAGGCACTCCCAAAGCAATCTGTATCTGCTATAGTGAATCACAATAAGTCACTGATCTTTTTTTAATTTTGGTCTCACTTCTGCTATGAAATTCTTAAGTACAGAGATGACATCCTACTGATCTTTCTATCACAGTCTAAGTCCTAACACAGAGTAGAGATACAAAAAACATTTTATGAGTTGAAATATTAGCAGCAACTGGGAGTTCTTATTGGTGTGTTTCATTTTTAACCATTTCTAAGTATTAAAAAGGTTTACCTTTATGGGTAAAATGGGCAGATTTTTTTTTCCAAATATGGCCTCAACAGTATCTCCTATCACATGTGCTGTTCCTACAAAGTGATCTTGACACTCCTCCCACTGAGTAGTGAGGACCATGTTTCTCTTGCTTTGAACCTAGGCAGGTCTTTGTGACACTAGGCAACTTCTGAAGCCAGATCATAAAAATGTCCTTTATTTCTATCTTGCTCTCTTGGGATTCTCACTCTGCACTCTGGGAACCTAATCTCCATGTGATGAGAAAGGTCAAACTAGCCCTCGTGGAAAGATCATACTGTGGAGCCCTGACGCTGATAGAGGAGAGATGCAAAGTCACCCCATCTGTCTAGCACTTTGGTCTTCTAGCTCCAGCCACCATCTGCCAACAACTGCATGAGAGACCCTAAGACACAACCATCCAGCCAAGCCCTTTCTGAGTTCTTGAGCCATAGAAACTATGGAAGAAAACGTTTGTTGTTTTAATCCTTTAAATTACTGTACTAATTTATTATGCATCAACAGTACACACGATACCTAGCTGAAGTTCTAATCTCACTTCTACACAACACTTGCTTCAAATACACTGGGGAACGATTATGTTCTTTTAATCAACTAGATAAATTTGAAGCCAAAGTAGTCATACTTCAGTTTTTCCCTTTCCTATACAAATGAAACAGTAAACTATCTTCTTAAGAAGAAAATTATTTGCGACATTCACTATAAAAAGACAATACATCATTGCTAAGGTTTTTCTTTTCTTTTTTAAAAATGTTTTCATTGATTTTGAGAGAGAGAGAGGAAGAGAGAGGGATATAGAAACATGGGTGGGACAGAAATGTCACTGATTGGCTGCCTCCTGCATGCCCCCTACTGGGGATCCAGCCCACAACTGGGGCATGTGCCAGGACCAGAATCAAATCATTATCTCTTGGTTCTGGGTCAATGCTCAACCACTGAGCTACCCTGGCAGGCTGCTAAGGTTTTTCTTTTAATAGGTACTATCCTCTCACAACTTAGGCAGCCAGATACTTGGTCATATGGATAGTTATTCATTTCTAAAGGACAAAGAATTAAAGCAAAGTATTAAATTTTTCTTTCACTTACTGCATTTAGGGCAGCAAGGATAAGGTGTCTCAAAGAAGTGAGAACAAGCATAGCCGTTTTATTATTTGGCTCTGAGCAGGTAGACTACAGAGCATTCAGCAGAAGAGAGAGAATGCAAATATAGCCTGAATATCCTCAGTTTCCAACAGATGAGGGTTGGAAAATGCCTCTGCTTTTGGCACTGCAGCCCCAAGTAGCAGGTCTTACACCTTCAATTCAAAAGGCTGACAAATGAAACTAGTCCCAGTCTAGTTGGTCTCATGTCATATGCTTCTTTAGTTAGGAATGTTGCTAAGGTAATGCCAACCAAAATCCCTTCATTGTTCCCACCTCTTTTGGAAAGCCAATAGAAGAAATTTTTTAACAGGTTCTCAACACAAAGGGCTGTATCCTTTTAATGTAGAAGCAGAGTATGGCAGAGTAAATCAGCATATACACTATTGTTCTTAGTTTACTGCTAATTTGCAAATCTATACTAATACTTCTCAGTGGCATCCCAGTTTTGCCTTATGAAACTGCTTTAGGAAACTGTATTTCTAAAACAGGACTTTCAAGATTCCCTTTTATACATTTTAGAAAAAAATTATCTGAACCAAGAATCAGTAACCTTTTTTTGGGTTTGGTTTTGCAAACCCCCAAGCTTTATTATGAACAGATTGCAACTCCTCAGCAAAGTTGCAGAACAGACACAGCCTTCAGAGCTCCTTGTGCAGCTGGGCACAGGGCCCGATTGAAGCAGGCCCGGTACCATGAGTGGACGTGCAGACAGGGTCTGTGTAGGCCTCCTATGGGGACTTGGTGATCTTCTTGTTTCACCTGAGTCTGTTGTTGATTCTGTGCACATGTGTCCACTGTGATGCTCAACATAGTGCCCCAGGCGCCAGTCATGGCCAAGTGTGCCATTTTGGGCCTTATGCCTAGTAGTGCCATCAGCTCTGCCAAAGAGGCTGGGATGTCCCCACTATAGCATGGCTGCAAGATAGTATTGGTCTGCTTGATATACTTCATCCTGTTCCTCCAGAAGCCCACAGGGTAGACAAGTGTGCTCAGTGTCTTCTGTCTGTAGGATGTTGTCTACCGTCAGGCCCTGAACATGTACCCGCTGCATGGCACTGCTGTCACCTAGTCGTTGGTCTGGCTGAAGAACATCAGCGACAGCAGCACTTGGTACCTCTGTACCTTTGGGGGCGCACTGGGGTTATAGCAGTGCTCAGCCCCCAGTTGGTCCACAGGCATGTACTTCCCACTCTTCATGGTGTGAACGTTTGCCAGCTGCTGCTGCCAGTCCTGAGGCTCCCAGCTTGGCACCTTGAATGCAGTCACTTCCTTTCTTACCATCTGAGGCCTCATAGGCCACCTTCAGGCTTTATAGCTCCACAGGGCAGTCAGTGGCTTTTCCTTCCTTCTGTAGCCACCTTGCCTCTCCAGTGTGGCACAGCAAGGCCCAGCCCCAGGTCCCCAACTCTGACTGAAGGTCACCATCCCCATGCCCATGGCACTCATGCTGAACTAGCAAACTTTTACTTAAAGGGTCACACAGTAAATATTTATAGACCTTGGGGCCAGTAAAGTCTCTGTAGCAACTACTCAACTCTGCTGTATCAATAAGCAGCGATAGGCAATGCATAAACAAATGAGCGAGGCTGCATTCCCATAAAACTTTATTTATAAATGGGCAGCCAGCTGTGGTTTGCTGACCCTTGAAAACAATCTGAATTCTTTCTAGGGTAAAAATTATTTTGGCTAAAGAGTTTTAGTCCTCTGAAATACTGAAACTGAACTTTACTGAAGAAATCTAGTATTATCAGAACAGGGGAAAAACCCCCTGGTTTATGGTGAAGAGATCACTTGTGCTTATCAATGCAATGGTATGACTATAAACTTCCCTCCACATTTTTACTAAATAATAATAAAAAAATCAAATCTTACGTGGACGTTTTTCTCCCTTCTGCTCTTGCTTCTTCACTTTTAAAAGCACAGTTTCACTAACCAACGTACAGTCCGTGTCCACTGTCTCACCTCCTGCTAATCTTGACTGACTGCCATCCTGAATATTTAAAAATTCAAAATTTTAATAATTATCCCTTTATGCTCTTATAGTTATTTTAAAAATATTTCTGGTAAACTATATGTAACATAAACTTTACCATTTTAACCATTTTTTTAAGTGTACACTTTGGTTGCGTTAAGTTATATTTAACTTTTTAGGAATAGAGATACGGTTCAGGTTTTATTGCCTGTAGAACATTTTAGCTTTCATATACAACACAAATATCTTCTCTCAAGCCTAGGAAAGGAGGCCTGCTGCCAAGGAAAGGAGGATTACAGAACACTGCATGCCCTGAGCTCCTCCTGCCTTTCTTCTCTGATCTGCCTTACAGTAATGTGCATCAATGTACACAAAGAATAACTTCATAAATTAAATCTTATTTCTTCATAGATATATATTACTTTAATAACTGTTAAATACTTTATTAATATACTACCAAGTAAAAGAGAACTTCTCAAACTATATAAAATTTAAATATAAGTCAAAAAAATTATTTCTACTTTGAATTTTAAGTTTTTAAAAAAATATTTTAAACTCTAGCCAACTGGGAAAATGAAACTTTTTTTTCTTGAAGGTACATTACTTTAAAAGTGAATCAAAGCATATAATGAATTATTTTGATAAATAATTATTTAAAATATTTAACTAGCATTTTGTATTACTTTAAAACTATAACAATAATTTTCAGCAAAGGCCTTTAAAGTCAAAAGTATTATTATTCTTTCAAAGATACCATAAAGTTGGAAGAATAAGCATTTTTATTTATTAGTTTACTAAATAAATAAATGCAAGTTTTAAGAGGTATTATCTCCAGGTCACAGAGTGAGAGAGGAGAGTGACTAAGAGCTCACTAGAATAACCACATGGGCTTTGGTTTTACTTTCTAACTCACCTTTGTATCTATTACAGTAACATCCATTTTATACTGAGAAAGGTCTGTTCCTGGATCTATACTCCACTGGATATTTTCAAAGGATACATCTTAGATAAGGAGGAAAAATATATATATAATTAAGAACAGATTTTAAAAATTCTCATTCCTTTAAAACATTATGGGATGCAGAAAATGGCAGAAAAGTTTTGCAAATCATATGTTTGGTAAAAGACTTGTATCTATGATATATAAAGAACTCTTCACAATTCAATAAGACAAATACTCCAATTAAAAATGAGCAAAGGATCTTAATAGACAGTCCTTGAAAGAAGATACACAAACGGCTAATAAGCACCTGAACAGATGTTCAACATCATTAGCTATCTGGGAAAAGTAAATCAAAACCACACAGAGATACCACCTCATATCCCATAAGATGGATCGAATGAAAAAGACAGATAGTAACGTGTTGGTGAAGATGTGGAGAAACTGAAACCCTCATATTCTGCTGGTGGGAATGCAAAATGGCTTAGCTGTTTTGGAAAAGTTACATAGGTTCTCAAAAGGTTATACTAAATTAGCATATGGCCCAGCAATTCTACTATGTATAACTAAAAAAAACCAAAGAAAAAAACCACATTCACACAAAATTGTACACCAGTATTCATAGCAGCATTATTCATAATAGTAAAAAAAAGTGAAATAGTAAAAAAACAGTCACAAAAGATTATTATTTCATTTACATAGAAACTCCAGAAAAGGCCAATCTATAGAGACAGAAAGTAAGTTAGTGACTGCCTAGGCCTGGGGGAAGAGGAAAGAGGAGTGGGGAATGAAGAATGATTACTAATGGGTCTTGTTCTTTCTGTTCTTTTGGAATAATGAAGATGTTCTATACAGAGACTGTAGTAATGTTTGCACAACTCTATGAGTATACCGAAACCGGTAAATCTTATAAATTTTAATACGTGATTTTTATGTCAATAAATTTTTTTTTAAACAGTTGAAACTGTAACTTTGTTTGGAGGGGTTTTCAATGTATGTAGATATACATGACAACTACACAAGGTATAGTTACAGGACATAAAGTGGTATAATATTAACTCTAAGTAGATTACAAAAGGTTAAGTCAGTATATACTGTAATCATTAAGAACAATTATAAAAAAATAAAAAGATTTAAAAAAAAAACTGAGAATAAAAAAAAAACGTTTTTATACAGAGACTAAAAAAAACTCTCATTAGAAGAACCACTAAAAAATGTGCTTAAGGAAAAAAGGAAAATAAACCCAGAATGAAGGAATAACTTTCCAATGAAGAATAAAAGAAAAAACACTGCATGTGAAGTACAGAAATATTTGGTTGGTAAAAAAACCAAAGACTCTTTTTAAACACAGCAGACTTATGAAAAGATTGATATACATATTACAGCAGACAATGTTTAAAAACAAGGTGAAAAACCCATACAAATATATATATATGTGTATATATATGTATATGCTTATAAATATACATGTAAATGCAAGAAAAAGAACAGAGTATCTATGGGGTGAGGAACAAGTTTTGGATGATGAAAATTCTACTTTATATATTTTAAAATTCTGTGTAAAATTTTTAAAGCTTTTACAAAGAAAATAAGAAATAACTACAGTCCTAGCCGATTAGCTCAGTTGGTTAGACACACCAAGGCTGTGGGTTTGATCTCCAGTCAGGGCACATACAAGCAACCAATGAATGTATAAATAAGTAGAACAAATCTCTCCCTTTCTCCCTCTCTCTCAAATTGAATAAAAATTTTAAAAAAGAAATAACTACATAAAATAAATCCACAAAATCACCTATAAAAGTAGTTATTTAAGCTCTCAATTCATTTTTCTAAAAGCACAAGAGAAGGATAATCACATGTAAAATGAACCCAATGAGACTTATTCTGTAAATACAGAAATATGCAGTAAGAAAATATTTTCTTCCAAAACAATTCAATCTATCCAAAGAATGTAAATAATACATTTAATATCTTAAATGATATATCAAGATAAGATATATGAAGAGTGGAAGTATTACTTGTAGTACACATACCTTGATTGTTTTGTAGAGGCTTTGTTTTAGCGATTCTACATGGATTTAACTGAAGAACTGATGCAAGTTCGCATGCTCCATGAACTGATCTGGTTTTTGTTCTTACTGGCTCATGAGAACCAGCACCCTAAAACAGAAAGAATTATTAGCATCTAAGTGAAATCATAACCAACCATTTAAAATAAATTCCTTGAACATTTAACACAAACCTGCATGTCATCAAAAAGATTCTCTGTCTCCAAACTTTCACGTGGATGCAGAGGGATTTTAAAGATAGGATTTTCTTCCTTTATTTGTAGTGTTTTGTTATCTGGAGAGGATTTACTCAGGGGCTGGAGGATGCACTCCTGTAAACGGGGCTCCTCTGGGGAATCTTTGGTGGGCACACAGCTCCCACTCGAGGCCTTTCGGCTTGAGGAAGAGCCCTTTGGAATGGGCTTCAAAGCCTCGAAGAGAGTCGCTTGTCTAAATCTGATTTTAGATGTCTCACTTCCTTGGCTCTTCTCTTGACGCTGAATAGCTGAAAACCGATCAGACAGATCCAGAGGTTTATCCATAGCATAGTCTCCATTCATAAAAGAATGACTATTCAGCGGAAAAGGAAAAGCATTTTCTTTATCAAAAGAGGCTTGGGGGCGGCTTCCTTCATCTTCAATTTCTTCCTCAATTTTCTTCCTTTTGGATGTTTTGCATCCCAGTGATTTCAGGGGCCCCGCATGTTTATCAGTAATAGCATCTTTAACGTGAGTGGAACTATCCTGTTCACTTATGGATTCACTTATATTTTTATTTATAAGCATCTGCTTATTAGAAGATTGGCTAATGATCTTGTTCACGTTGGACCCAAGATTAGGATGTGTGAAAAGGGAACTATCTTCAGATTTTGATCTAGTTTTCTCTGATCTGGAATTAGAAGTGCTGCTGAAAGGTGCTATTTTCAGATGGCTTTTTTTCCCAGTCTCTAAAAGAGAAGGGGACAAACTTGTACTCAAACCAAAACTACTTTTCACATTAGAGGTAGCTCCAAATACAGGAGATGATACCCGAGTAGACAGTTCTTGAGGAGGAGTCTTTGAATTAGGATCTGAAAATCTAAGAAGATAAAGAAATAGGGTAAAAATTAAAAGACAAGAATGGTGAAGAAACGTATGCTAATAAAGGATTATTAATAATAAGGTCTTATCCACATATTAGAGAGAGATGCTTCAGCAGCATTTACAATAGGGTATAGCTGCTGGCTTCTCTTCCTTTAGCTGACAAAAAGCAGAGGAAAACGATACAGTCATCCTATTTCAATACCATGATATTCCTATTTACAAACATTTTTCCTAAATAAGTTAAATCACTTCACTATATAAGAAAATAATATTTTAATAAATTCCACTGGGGACCCAACTTCTTCTGTTGTTATGAAACCTTGTCATGAGTAATTCTAAGAAACAAAATTCTTATACTACAGAACTGAACGTGAACTAAGGCCCAGTCTGCCTCTAGCAGAGGAGACAGCTTTGGTAGTAGAAAGAGGATTAGGTTTAAGTTTGAAGACATGGGATGGGTAAGAGCACTGCCTCTAGTACTGAACAGCTATGTGGCCTTAAACACGACATTTAAACTCTCTAAAGCTACATTTTTGTTGACTGTGAAATATGGGGGTAAGAAAACCTACTTTAATGAATTACTATGATGACAAGTTAAATGTGATATATGTACCTAAACCCAAAAGCTCTTTTAAAAAGTAAAATGCTACACAGATATAGGTATTATAAGTTAATGGATGTTGTGAAATTAGTAAGAGATGCAACACAATCCTTAATACGATCTTATCCAAGCTTTATACAACATCTAGTTTTTGGAAATGCAAACCCAGAAGGGATGACTGGGTCTTTAAAGGGGCAGAGTAACAAGGCTGGGAACTCCTAAGTACTGCTTGAGAGAAGTACAGAAAGAATCTAAAAATAATATCCATCTTGCTATAGTAATGCTTTTAAAAGCCCTCAATTGATCATAAACTGGAGAAAATATTTTTTAAAATAAAAATTAAAACAACCAGAATAACAAAACTATATGTTGAAGGAGAGAAATAGTTTAATTATATGAAACTCATTGTAATAGGATTTCACCAATAGCTTATAAATTTTCACCAAAGTGCCCCAATTACCTTAAATGATCTTCATTATTTCTTGTAGACTCCTCTGACGGCTGTTTCTTGTGATCTCCTTCCAGACTGTGGTAGAGCTCATCACCAAGGGGGCTCATGGGGCTGTGAGATTCCTTCAACAGTAAAATATAAAGTACATAAACACAGTGAGAGATTATTTTTCCTTAAAATGGATAAAAGCTGATACAGGCTACAATGTGGATGAGCCTCAAGAACAGGGTAAATGAAAGAAGCCTGACTCAAAAGCCACGTCATGTATGATTCAATTTACACGAATTACCCAGAATAGGTGAATCTGTAAGGACAGAAAGCAGACTGGTGGGTACCAGAGGCGAGTGGTAGGGAACAAGGACTGAAGGTTTAACAGGCTTTCTTTTGGGATGATGAAAATACTTTGGAACTAGATGGAAGTGGTAGTTGCCTAATATTGTGAATATACTAAATGCCACTGAATTGTACACTTTAAAATGGTTAATTTTATGTTATGTGCATTTTTTATCACAATAAAACATATGAAGCACATTTTAAGTTTAAAGAGGAAAAAACACATTGGAGCGCCAAATCCTTAGAGATCAGCACCTTTAATGTATTTGGTGTTTAAACTACTGACTTGCCAGGCTTATGGGTAGGAGAAAATTAAAAACCATTAAAACCCATTTAAAGTTCAAAGGTTAAAAACTACCAGCTATCACTTGAATATGGTTTTTAAACTAGAAAAAACAACAAATTTCCCAAATGTAATAAAAAACCAATTCCATTTTTACAAATTCAATAAATAGCAACACAATTTTATGACTCATATACATTTACCAACTAAAGCACAGAATACTATTTTAAAGTTGTATCAAAGTAAAACTTCCTTAAGATTAAAGAATTCAAGTTTTCTATTTTTAGGGACTAAGAAAAAAAAGTAAATGTGTCTCATTAAGGAAGCACTAAAATAATGAAAAAATCATGGGGTCAGTTACTGACGCAATTGCTAAGAAGTAGTTTGGTTTTTTTTGGACTGGCACTTAGTAAGGACACAGAACTAAAGTATATATGGTAGTCCTAAGAATTCATCCTGTTTTTCAAATCAAACCCCAGTTTAAAGGATGCTGAGAAGATCCAATAAATTCTGAAATAAACCTAAAGGTTTAGGCCTTATCTTAGATGAAACGGTAGAAATAGGGGGAAGAGAGGATGCAGGGAAGACAATTGGCCAAACCCTCTAAGCCATTATCATTTCCCTAAATTCTGACTCAACCCACAACCTATATCCCCAAAATTCTAAAGACTAGATTTCTGGGACTGCTTGGGGTAGATAAAATAAAAGAGCCTTTCTAGTCATATCAATTTTGTTCTAGGCCTTTATCCAATGATCTCTGGAAAAAAATAGTATTTCTCTTGCTCAGTTCTCTAAAAACTGACCTAAAAAGACACCAATTAATTCATATTATCATCAGAGTAAACAATTACTTACAGATTCTTCTGGAACATTAAGTCCAAGTGTCTCGGCAACGATTGTAGCTAAATTAAAAGATGACTTATCAGTGGGATAACTGCTTGTTCCATGTGTTTCTAAGTAAGCAAAAAACACCTAATTATACAATTATAGAAATCAGATGTATAAAAAAATACAAAAGGGGGCCCTGGGCAGGTGGCTCAATTAGTTGGAGCATTGTTTCATACGCCAAAAAAGTTCCGGGTTTGATTCCTACAGGTTCAATCCCAAGTCGGGGAGCGTGCAGAAAGCAACTGATCAATGTTTCTCTCTTTTCCCCTTCCTCTCTCTCTCAAATCAATAAACATATCCTTGAAGTTTAATTTTTTTTTTAAAAAAAAGGAATAAACGGCTCACAGAACTATTTTATAAGATGGCACTGAATAATTTTTAAAATTCTGTGCAAAAAGGCCCAAAATACCTACTATAAATGGCAATAAGTTGCAGATATCTAGTGTCTACACTTGCAAAGTATTTTCAGGTAAGTTTTCCATTTATCCTAAGTAAATTGAATGCAAAAGATAATTTTTCTTATCAATGAAAAAAATCATAAAAATATATATTTATAATGGATTTACTGTGACCTAAGACATACTACAAATATCAAACCATATCATATTTATAATACTATTCATGAAAACATACTTTATGGGAGAGATTTTCAGCACTACTTAATTTTCAAGTTTTAAGCTAACACATAATTATACAGAAATCATCTATATTCAAATATTTTATACATATAGAGTTCCAATAACTCAACAAATATTTATGAAGCACATACTATGTTCCAGGTGTTGTGCTAGGTACTAGATGAAAAGAAAATATTTATATCCTCAAGGAACTTATGGGGCTACAGTTAAAACAGAAAGGTTAAAAAGAGAATTGTAATAAAATGTGACAAACATTACAATAAAAGTACATTAAAAAGGGGTGATTTAAACATAGAGTAAGGACTCCTAAATCTAACTCGGAAAATCAAGAAAAGCTACATCAAGTGATGCCTAAGCTGACCCTTGAGAGAAAGAGGAATATGACAATTCAACTGGACTGGGAGCAGAGAGAAGGGTTCTATGTATGTGTAAGGGTCTATATATGTAAAACAAAATTACACATTCAGGAAACTGTATGTGGTTCAATTGCTGGAAATCAAAGTGCAAAAGGTGTAGCAGTAGTAGGATAGGAGCCCAGACAGGTCAGTGAGGGATCAGATTATGCTAAAGAGTATAAAACTTATCCTGTAGGCAATGAAGAGATATCCAAAGGTTTTAATAAAGGAAAGATGCAATACTTGGGTTTAAAAAGTAATTCTAGTCATGATAGGATGATAGAGCAAGAAGCAGTCCTAACAGGTAAGAGGACTAATTAGATTACTAAACCAATCTTATGAGAGATGCTGATGGCCTAATGGGGGTACAGAAGAATGTTTATGACAGATACGTAGGAGGTGGGATCAACAAGACTTGGAGAGTATTTAAATATGAGAGATGAAAAAGGAGTCCAGGATAACTCCCAAGTTTTTTGATTTAGGTAACTCCGAGAGGGATGTAGAGTATCATTCACTGAGGTTGTAAATAAAAGGGTGAGGAGTAGGTTTGACAGAAAAATTTCAATTTTGGACATACTGAAGTTGAAGGATATCCAGGTAGAGATGTTCAACAGCAGGCAGATACACTGTTTTGGAAATAAGGAGAAAAATCTTGGACAGCGATAGATTTGGGATTTACCATATAGGTTGCCGCAGAATACTAACTCTAGGTGAGATCCCTCTAGAAAGTGAGACAAGAATAGACCAAGAACCATATACATTGGGGACAGTAACATTTAAAAGAAAGAGAAAGGTCAATAAAAGAAGGTGAAAAAAGAAGAACAAGAGAACCAGGAGTGGCACCACCTCAAGAAACAAGAGAATGCTCGATAATGTCCACCATCATAGAAAGGTCAAGTAAAACAAGGACTGGGAAATATTCATTAGCTTTAACAACCAGGAGGTAACTGATGACTTCTGCCAGAGCAGTTCCAATGTAATGAGTAAGAGAAGAGAATGTGAGAACATATTCTCTTTCTCTGCCCTCCCCCTTTCTTCGCCCTCCTTCATTCCTTCCCCATATCCCTTTCCCTTACCGCCCACCAATAACCACAAATTTTAAACTAATAAAGTAATCTCAATATCCTGCTTACTAGCCACTGGAGAGTGACTTTGATCACAAGTGTCAGCCACCAGAATTTCATTTTCATTAGGCTTAGGTTGTGGATGAGTTGAAGATTTTGGAACTTTTCTCAATTCTAAGGGGGAAAAAGGAGAGATTACCTATAAACAATCACACTGAAAAAATATCATCAAAATAATATTTTGATAAGTCAATACAAACCTATCTTTAAATGTATTAGAAGTGCTACTGTATTGATACAATTTTCATATTCTAATAAAGAGTTCATTCCTATACTTTCATTAGAAATAAAGCTGGAAGTTAGATCAGTAGCAGTTAGGAGAGTGGGAGAGAAAACTAGAACAGACAAGCTTCTTCTGACCCAAGTCTCCAAGAGCTGTAATATTTAATGTATCTTTTCCTTATGTATTTGTTGCAAAGCAGTAGGTTAATTTAAAATGAATACTGCATCACATTATCTCTACAATCTTTTAGTTTTTATTTTCTAAAAGGAAATACTGAAATTTATCAGAAATAATTCAAAGAAAACAAAAAACAGTATGTAAAGGGAAATAGGCTTTTATTAACTATAACCTGAAAATAATATTAAAGCAGTATAAACTTTAAAATAAATAAGCAAAGATGGTCAAAAAGAGGAAAAGACTAAGTAGTCATTAAGTCAGTTTTAAAATAATTTGCGTGACTCAAACGTTATCCTGTATTTTAAACCAAAATTTCAGATTCCAAATAAAAATTAGAACAAGATTAAAACAGACAAACCAAATTTTTAAATATAGTTATACATTATTCTCATACAATGAAGAAATATGCCAGAAGCTTTTATGATACAAAAGGTGACTTTCCTAATAAAGAAAATTGATGTAATTTGTTTTCCTGAATATTCTTATACATGGATTTAAACATGACCTAAATTATGCAGTTGCTTATCTGTAGTGACTCCTGTCCTGTCTGATAATAGACTAAAAGGCCAATGAATGTTCATTTTAGATCTATGATCTTATATTTTACTTTAGCTCCTAATTATGTGTAAGATTTTTAACAGTTCTTTTGTTTTCCACTAGATGGTGATACAAGGTCATACTAAAATGATGAAAATTATGCCAATTTTCCAACATCAAACAATAAGATCTACTTATTTTTCAATGGCATAGTTACTGTTAGCAATTTATTTGCACTATAAAAATATGTCTAGAACTATGTACACCCTTTCCCCCCAAAATGCTTTCCTTGCTACAAATAATTTAGGTTAAAAACTAAATATAGTCTTTATCATTTACTTTAGATCAATATTAAAGTAAATCTTTGTATCATGTCACATGATAAATTTCAGGACTACATGAAAAGGTAGTTCCAAAACATTTAACAGAAATGGTAAGTCACAAAGTAGATACATTACAATGCCATTTCTTTATTACCACCAATTGTTACAAATTATAACAAGTAAAAATAGCCAGTTAAAGACAGGATTCTCAGTATAAAATAGCTGTGGGCAAGACCTGGAAAATACAAAAATTTAGAGTGAGGAAGATCTACATTTGAATTCTGACTCATCTATTTACTTGACAAGTGATCCTGAGTTTAACTCTTCTAAAGAGTATCTTTGGTCATCTATAAAATATAGGTGCTAATAGCTACCCTGCATGCCTGTCATGAGAATTAAAATATAGTAATAATGTATTCAAATCACTCAGCATAATACCTGGCACACCGTGGATAAAAATTAATGTTAAGTTCCTTTCCTCTTACCTTTTATCCCACTCAGATATATGCATATAAGAATGTTTTTAAAATAGAAACAGGTAACTTTTTACTGTGTTTATAAAATGCTGGGTGTTTACATATTCAGAAGAGCAACATAGGTCTATACATAATACAGGCAGAAAATGCCTTCCCAGTCACTTCACTAATGACGGTCCGCCTTCCATTAGACTGAAGAACACAAAAACAATAGATGAATACTATTTTTACAACGCCAAATAATTCAGATACAACTCTAATCCTTACCATTTGTACACACAGAGTGCTCTGGTTTAGTATGGGTTTGTTCTATGTATCGAACATGGAGGTTCTCCTTTCTTCGTAGACGATTAATGCCAGAAAATGAAAAGGCTGTTATTGGTGAATCTGGAATAACATTTTCCTCAGATTCAAGCTCAGCTGCTTGATGCTGTTGATCATTCCTAGAGGAAAACAATGACAATTCCAAGAAAATTAATTAAAAAAATATTTACTAAAACATCACGATGGTATGGAGCTAGAGTAAAACACTGGTATGAAATTTAGATGTAATTCCTCGCATCTAATGTTCAAAACCTAAATATAAGGATTAGAGAAGTACTCAAATGATTACAGTGGGGAATATTATTGTGAGAAGTAAAGTACAAAGTGTAGTTGCTGCCACTTGAAATGAGAAGAATTTCAAATGGCAGAGAAAATCAGCAGAGGATCAACATAGTCTGAGTAAAAGCACGCAGTACTGTATACTTAGTGGAGAAGGGCAAGCTGGAACTACATGAAGGAGGGCCTTGATTAAGTGTGCACAAAGTTCAGAAAGCAAGAGGAAAGGAATTAAGGTTTTAGAGCATAGAAGTAATGTGACAATCCAGCAGCAGTGTGCAAGACTGACTGGGACAGAAACAAAGGAGGCAAGGAAATCCATTAGGCAGTGGCTGTAACAGTCCAGTCAAGAGCTCCTGTGGGTTTGAACTAGGATGTTGACAACATCTATGGACAGGAAGGGGGCAGTGCTAAACACTGTGGCAGTAGAACCAATATGACTTGACAACTGACAAAAATACAGTGATAAATAATATTAGCTATCAACATTCTTATAGGTTTATACTGCCAGACACTGTTCAAAGTGCTACATGTATCAGTTTAATTATCATAACTGTATAAGGTATTACTCTCATTTTACAAATGAGAAAATGAAGTTACAGAAGTTAAGTCACTTACTAAAATAATAAATAACAGAACCAGGATCTACATCCCAGCAGCCAGACTCTTAGTATAATATTGCTAACTACTCAATGCATTATCCTTAGTGTAGACCATGAGACAAATGACTGATTACAAGTAGGATTCAACCTTTGAGTTTCTGCCACTGCTTTTATCCAGGTGCCCTCACAAGCTATTCTCAAAACATCAGTCAGAACAGTCCTATCAAAACTCAAGTTATGTCACTCCTCTGATTAAAACTTGCCACACCTTTCCATTTCACATAAAACACAAGCCAAAGTCCTTTTAATGATTTACAAGGTCCTACATGACCTGACTGCTCCCCTCCCCATATCCTCTCTGGCCTGTTTTCATATCATGCTCTACTCCAACCACCTTGCTTCCTCGAGGTTCCTCAAACACACTAGCCATACTCCTACTGCAAGTTCTTTGCTCAAGCTGTTTCATCTGCTTGGAAAGCACACCTCCATACATCACATGGCTAATGATCTCCTTTCCTTCAAGTCTTTGCTGGAGTTTTATTTTCTCATTAAGGTCTACCTGAACACACTATTTAAAATTACAACTGTTCTTCTCATACCCCAGTATTCCTGTTCTTCGTTATTCTGTTCTATTTACTTTATCCATAGTATTTACTGCTTTCGAACATAGCATAGAATTGACTTACCTATTGCTCACCTGCTAGAATGTAAATGTCAATAGGATAAGATCTTTGGTTCACCAATACATCATAAGTGTCCACAAGAATAGGCACACAGTAGGTACTCAATAAATATTTGTTGAATAAATGATTGAATATGAGAGATTCCAAGATTCTACTAGAAAAATAAATTTGTGCTGATCTAGGCATATGTCCAACTCACTGAAGGACCAATAGCACCTAAAGAGTGGGTTTGGATTAAACTGTAGTTATTGAGTAAAGTTAATTAACTTTAACTCAATTGACTTTCCCATGTCAAGCCATTACTGGCTTTATCTGCCAACCAATTCTTACCAGTCTGTCAGGCATTTAGGCTTTACACGACAAAACGAGATTGTCCTACTCTACTCATATCAATTTGTAATACTATCTATAAACATACAATAATATGAAAATTTTATAAACTATGGCCAACAGAGATTTTTAAAAAATATTAGAAGATAAAGATAAATTTTCCCCCAACATTGATTTATATCTTAATTTCCTGGATCATATCAATATTAGTCTGGTTTATAACCCTATATTCTTTACTGAAGATCTTTAGAGCCATTTAGAGTTACTATCTAATTTTTAATCTCTCCCTACAAATTCAATGGACTTATTCTGGAAAAACAGAGTAAGCTGGTCATATGAGAAAGCCTTATAAATTAATGGAGTGTGAAATCTATCTGACCTCACTTTAACTAATTACATCACAGTCTACCTGCCTATTAGTCATAAAAATTCAACCTGAAACATGAATGAGTTACGAGAAGAAATTGATTTCCTGGCAGAGCCAATCTAGAAGTATCTGGGATCACAAAAGAAAGAAAAATACAATAGAAAACTAGCTTTAACTAGAGGTGTCCAAACTAAGTAAACAAGTGCTGGCTTTGCCCTCCTTTGTCCTTCATTAAAAAAAAAAGAAAAAGGAAAAACAAAACAGCTTCTATGTGTTAACCAAGTTTTCTTCTTTTAAGCATTAGGTCTTACTTACTCTGATTTGCTGAAGGAAGTTAAATCCACACCACAGCTTCTGGTTAAATTAATTACGCACGCAAGTCATCTTTCTCCGTTCACTTTCCCTTCTAATGGCCCGAGAGCACTTTTTTTTTTTTTTTGGTTGTCTACTTTATTTGTAGGCCTCCCTTAAATTCTGTTAAAACAGTTCTAGTTGTTGGGTGTGTTTTTTTGTTTTTATTTTTTTTTATTTTTAGAGAGAGAGGAAGGGAGAGGGGTAGAAAGATAGAAACACTGAGGAGAGAGAAATATTATCGATTGGCTGCCTCCTGCACGCCCCCTACTGGGGATCAAGCCCCAAACCTGAAACCCAGTCATATGCCCAGACAGGAATCGAACTGTAACCTCTTGGTTCCTTGGTCAACGCTCAACCAGTGAGCCATGCTAGCTGGGCTAGTTGTTTTCCCCCCCAAAGATCTATAAGGATACAGGGTTTTCATTCCTAAAGTCTGTAAAAAGTGTTTAGAATTCAGCTTTCTCCTCTTCTGCTCTAAAGAACTTACACACTTTCAGCTAAAACATAATTTAACCTTAATGAAAATTACAGCCATCAAGTTCACTAAAATATTATGATTTTCAAGAAAACAGAAGAGAATTCCCTAAAATACAAACTAGTGAGTCTGATACACTGTTCTCTTAAAACTGGTATAAGCTCATTACATGAGTAATTCAAGTAAGACTAATTTTAAGAACAGTTCATGAGCAGAGGATATTTACTCTAAGACAAGACTCAGGAGGGCCATGAGGGTTGTCTTCCTGTACACAAAGGACCACCAATTAGAAGAGGGGATAAACTTGTTCCAGATGGTCCCAGAAGGCAAAAATCAGAATCGACAAATATAACTTGTAAGTAGAGTGGTTTCTACACAAACTAAGAAAGAACTTTCTAGTAATTTCATCTCACTGAAATTGAATAGGCTTGGGAGACAGTGAACTTATACTAGAGGTATTCAAACAATTCTATGTTAAAGAAGTCATACAAGAAATTCAATTTAGAAGAGGGCAGTGTAGAGGGCAGTAAAAACAAAATGCAACAAAAACTTTATTTTAAATTCTGTCCATCTAGAACAGTGAATGAAATGAATCCTATAGCCTTCAAGTATATACACTTACATATAGACTTTGACTTTCACTGAACCAGCACATCCATTTCCTGAAATAAAGAGTCATGACCCCAATACCTAGCTTACTTATCTGCTTTCTGTGACTGGTAGAGTTGAAATATATATATTTAAACTTTGTAACGACAAACTGTCACTGAATAATTTCTCAGCATAATGTCACTAAACAATTGTCCTACCATATAAGGTATCTATCTGTAACATCAAAGCCAGCTTAGGTGAGCCTGGCCTGTATGGCTTAGTGGTTGAGCCCATGAAGCAAGAGGTCACCGGTTCGCTCTCTGGTGAAGGGCACATGCCCGGGTTTCAGGCTCGATCCTCAGTAGGGGGTGTGCAGGAGGCAGCTGATTGATGTTTTTGTCTCATCGATGGTTCTATCTCTCTATCCCTCTCCCTCTCTCTCTAAAAAAAAATCAGTAAAACACTTTTAAAAAACACACACACAGAAAAATTCACCCAACTTAGGTGAGCTAGAATACTACATTTCACAAGCAGAAGTATAGGTCAAATATTTTTTCTAAAGTTCGGGGGAATTCCAGGCACTAATAGCATAATGTTACAATAAGGTAGTCAAGAGGAAACCAGGTTGCCTTTATGAGATAATACTTGCTATTTCTTTTTTAAACTGACAAGGAAAAGAAAATTTGTTCAAGAAAAGCAAGCTACAAAGTACCTTATGAGAGCAACTAAAATTTCAGAAGAGAATTGAAAGATACAACAGATTACTCCTACACTATTCTAAGGCATATACTAAATAAACATACCTGCCCTGAGCTCATCTACATTAATCTCTACTGTAATTTAAACTTCAGCTTTTAGATCTTTTCTAAAATATCAATGAGCCTCAACAGGAAAAATATGTGAATTTGAGAACACTAAAAATAAACTCATTGTAAACTAATCAGAATTAAATTTCTACCAAAAAATGACATTATTTGGTTGCAATAAACTTTATACACCTTGGTTGTTGAGGTAACCACCTAATTCTGTATTAACCTCTGTATAATATATGAATATTATCTTACTTATCTTCAGTATTCATAGATATCAAGGTTGATGTGTTCAAAATATCACAAGCTACCTGTGCTAGATAACCCCACATAATGTATGTTAACACAGGTCAACACTTATCTGAAATCTTTGGAAGCAGATATGATTCAGAGTTCAGATTTGTATTTTACATGAAGAGTAACATAGAGCATATAGAGACGATTACATAACACTTTCAGGGGAGCCTGAGGTGGTATCCTGTAGTCAAGCACATTGATAATTTTCAAGCAAACCCTCTGAATGCTCACATGAAGTGGTGGGATAAATAACTATAAATAGCATCCTGTCAGTTGAGGTAAGGTTAGGTTGTGGATAACATTTCAAAAGAAAAACCTTTTGGGTTTTGGAATCATATATAAAAGTTTGTGGATCTGTGTTCTAGCCTCACTTCAATATACAGCATGAGGAAAATTAGTAAGTGTTGACATTTTCATATATACCTTTGATTACCTCAATCTGCTCCCCTCACCTTCTTTCCTCATCTGACTATTATCCCTCCTCAAAATTCCCTTTGGCTACCAATATATAGTGGACTGATCACATGGGAGGAATATCAAAATCCTACTGGACATCTACCTAGAAGTATATTGATAAGGATGTTAATTCCACCTTTGAGATGTGTTTATATACAAGACAATAAGTCTTCGATGCCAAAATAATGTTACACCTGCACAGTTTGTACTAAAAATGTTATAGATGTCTACTCACATGTAATAGCATCTTTAACAGTCCTATAAAACCATTAAGACTATCCTGAATCCTAATCCTTAAAAAAATATTATATAAGCTTTATGTAAATGGAAAATATGAAGTAACCATATCTCTGCTCTGCATCAGCCAGACTATACTCCCTAAAATAGATTATTTTTTGAGACACTGTCACATAATGAAAAGAACAGAGGCCTTTAAGTCAGAAGATATGGGTCAGAGTGATGGTGTTATAACCTACAAGGAGTGAGACCAAGGCAAGTTACTTGACTTTTGTGAGCTCTGGTTTCCTCAATATAAAGTAGAGATAGTAATGCTACCTTGTGGAATCATAATGAACAATAGAAATAATAAACATAAAACACAAAGAAGATTAACTCGTACACAGGATAAAAGTTATTTTCATTCTTTAAGAGAAATGGTGGGAGAGGAGAGAGGATCAGAGAGAGAAAGTTTTTGCAGCTTGAAAAATGTGTAAGAGAAAATATTTATTCAGTTTGCTTTTGTGATGCTTTTAGGACAGGTAACAAAACTCAATTATTTATTTGAAATATAAGCATTTTAATAATGTATTATTTATAATAATCATTAAAGTTAAAACTCTTTAAATTAAAATGTTCAGATACTTTTTCTATATACTCGCACACTAATCTAAGAGATGCATACACTTTTCATATGCATACTCCCAAAGCATGAACAAAAATATACTGATTTTCTATGTATTTTATTGCAGAGCACTTAATAATTTTTAAAAATGAAATCTGCAACTCTTAACATGTTTTTTATTTAGCTTGCATAGCTAAATAAAATGAAGAAAGAAAAACTGGGGGAAAATATTCAATTTTCTATGGCAATTTAAGAAAAAAATACTTACTCAATTTTCTGCTGCAGCTGTTCAGAAAGCTTTTTATTTTCTTCCTGTAGAGTATTCTTTTCATTCACTTAAAAATAATGTGAAAACGAAGGCACATATTATAACTCTATTAACATGTATGTCAGGCTTTTTCAAGAATTTCAACAATTATAGAGAATTAGGATTTCTAATTCTAAGTCAAAATGTTAGTCAGGGTTAATGTTGCCATGTGAAACTAATTTGTTACTAGGTAGTGATTATATCTCATATTGTGCCAGTTCCATGTAAATGATTGACTGTTAATTTTATGTAATGCTTGTGGGCAAAAAAGAGTACCTCATGTACTGGGGAGTAGAGTCTAATTATTCATACTAAGGACAAGAAAGCATTCCATCTGGTTACTCAGTCCTACTAATTTCAAATACCATTTTAGTGAGAGTCATTTATCTTGAAATAAATCTGATTATAAAAGTACTATAACAATGGATATCAGTGTAATTTTTATAACATAAGCACACTTAAGTCGTATTTTCTTCTTTAGTCACACTCTATGTTTCATGAATAATTATGGTATTAATAATCTAACCCTACCCATTGAAGTAGTATCTGTTTGAATCTACCTCAACTAAATTTTCCTATCCACCCATATTTAATTTATAAAGTAGAAACTCAGTTTTGGGCTATAATTTCCACTGTTGCCAGTACAAAAGTCTTACCATTCCTTAGTATGATGTCACTGGTTAAGCACGTGCTTTACTAGCAGGAATATATATAAGAGATCAAGTGACAGTAAACACAATTAACCTCTACCAAAGAAAGTTGATCATATTCTAAAAATTAGTTTAGAATTTAGTGCTTTACAAATCTAAACATATTTTCTTACACTGAGTAAAAAAATTTTTGACTATCTATGTGAGGTTGCTAGACTACCTCCTGTGGAGATCTAAAAAAACCTTAAGATACGGACAATGACCTAAAGAAAAGTGTAGTCTAATGAGAGACAAACTATTATATAAACACCTTTTATATAGCTGAAAGTGACAAGGGCATTACAGAGGAACAGATATAGTATTAAAGAAAATTTCAAGGGGAAAAAGGTTGTTTTGGGCCCTTGAGAAGATCAGAAAAGAATTCATCACACAAAACAAATGAACTGGACAGGTGACTATTCTATGCAGAGAATTAATGAAACAAAGGTTCAATGACTGGGAATAATAAATGGTAGAAAGCCTTCAAAAGCAGGCTAAGAAATCTAAAACTTATCTTAAAAAATTAACAGTTATTTTTCACAGAAGAATGATGGGAAGATTGATTTGTTACTAGGTATATATACCAAAGTGAGAAGAAAGCATTGACAAGTCAGGTTATTGTTGAAAGAAATAAGTTGATTAAAAAGAATAGAAATAAGACCTTTTAATAAACGATAAAGCCCTGGCTGGTGTTGCTCAGTTGGCTGGGCGTCGCCTATGTACCAAAAGGTTGCCAGTTCGATTCCCAGTCAGGGCATATGCCCGGGTGTGGCTCAATCCCCAATAGGGGGCGTGCAGGAGGCAGATGATTGATGTTTCTCTCTCTCTCCCTCTCCCTTCCTGTCTCTAAAATCAATATTAAAAAAATGTTTAAAAACAAAACAAGACAAAAAAACGGTAAAGGATAAAATTAAAGCTGTGACACTCAGAGTGTGTCCAAAAGCAAGTGGCACAACCCAGACGTTTTCCTTCAATAAATTGGTGGTACAAACCAAGAATGAATCAAATTAAAATAAGAAAAAAAAATACCCTCAAAATTCAATAGCTAGTAAGAGTGATAACAAAAAAGAAAGAAAGGCAGGACAAGAAGAAAAAAGTAGCAATAAGAAACACCAAAAAATCATAAACATTAAGCCCTTACTTAGTGTTTTTATTCTTTTAATAACTTTAGAATTTGACTTCAATGATTTTTCTGTTGCTTATTTAAATGTAAAATTAGGTTTCCTAGACTTTTCAGTAATCATAGTGGTGGTATAATTAGTGGTGTTATTTTGAGACTACTAGCTAGTAATATGAGATTAAAAAATGATATTTTAATTCTATTATTTCTGTGTCCCTGAGAACCAGGATTCTCAGTGTGGAAGAAAGGAGATATAGGTGTTTTTAGAGAAAAGGTTAGTAAAAGATCTGTAGTCTTGAATTTTCAATATGAACTTATAAAGTATTTTATCCATCTGAAAATTAGGCAAAGGATATTCAAGCCAATCACCCAAGAAATGCAAACTGGACATCATGTGAAAAGATAGTTGACCTGGACTATTAAGGAGGATGCTAATTTTTAAAAGGTATTATTCTTTTTTAAAAATATATCTTTATTGATTTTAGAGAGGGGAAGGAAGAGGGAGAGAGAGAGATAGAAACATCAATGATGAGAGAGTCATTGATCGGCTGCCTCCTGCACGCCCCCTGCTGGGGATTGAGCCCGTAACCCGGGCATGTACCCTGACCAGGAATTGAACCCTGATCTCCTGGATCCTAGTCCTATGCTCAACTGCTGAGTGATGCCCGGCCAGGCAAAAGGTATCGTTCTTATTATCAATTACTACATTTCTCCAAAGCTGAAGAAGCTGTAGGGAAATGACATTTTCAAACAAACAAAATAATTGAGCACCAGAAATTCATAAACATTAAGCCCTTGAGCTGTCCATCAATATAAGAATGGCTAAATAAATGACATATCTACATTGTGGAATACAATGCAGCTGTGAAAAACATCATTGTCCTAATCCCTAAACTTAGGTTTTTCACTTATTTGAAGTTTCTAGCTATTTTCAGACAGATAAAGTTACTTGAAATCTGCCTATTAGATATATAGACATTACTGGAGATTATCTCTATTACTAATGATAATATAATGGTGGATCTCAACTATGTTTATTGAGATATAATAAAATGTTAATTTCTACTCAGTAATATTCTTTTATTCCTAAATAAACACATGCATATATTCACACATACAAATCACAGAATCTATAGACATAAATATACTAGCATGTAAAGTCTTCTAAGCCATCGTATAAAATACAGCAACATGTCAGAACAAAAACTATGGTATGCTCCCATTAAAATTTAAAAAAACAGAGACAGAAAGACAGACAAACCTGGACCTGGAAAGATATTTAACAGATTGTTAGTAGTAACTACTATGCACTTTCTATCTCTTTTAAAAATAATGAGCATATATTCAAATAGTCTAGCAATATAATTAAAAAAAAAAATACAGTCAGGAGATGGAATTAGGTTGGAAAAGAAGATTAATTAGATTTTGGACATGTGGACTGTGAGTTGCTTATAAGGAATCCTGGTAAGGGTGACTGGGAGAGTATAAAAATAGGTAAAAGAAAAGGTTAAGGGAGGTAGCAGAAGAGAAAAAGGTTAAAAGAAAAAGGCTAAGAATGAAAATGAAAATAACTTTACATTAAATGGGTAAGGAGCCTAACTGAAAATGGTATACTTGTAATAGTATGTCATGAAAAAAAAAGAAGTATACACCTTTGTAGAACACTAAATTGTCTGCTTTGTATTTAACTTTACTAAATAGTCAAATTACACAAAATAAAGATAAAACCAAAAAAGGAAATATGGACCTATCTGTAGGAAATTTGCTTCTTGTCTTATAGCTGGTGAGACTTTAAGGCCAATGTGGACAGTAGTGCACAACCTTCTGGTAAGTATTTCTTACTAAAATAATCAGATTAAATCTACACAAAGGGAAAGGACAATTGATCTTTTGCCTAAATAAGGAAAAATATATGTAAGCAATCCTTTTGCAACCAATTTACTAATAGGTTTTAACAATAGTATATTATGCTTTAAAAACTTAATAAATGAAAAAGGAAACTCACTAAGCTCTGTGATAAGTTTAAGATTCTGCTGCCGGATATTTTCAAATTCTTGCTGTTTTTTTCGCATATGTTCTTCAGTTACTGCACAGCGATCACATAATCCTGCTCTTAATCTACGAAACAGAAACAAAATATTTTTAGAATAGAACTTAAATGTTCTCATAAAAATGTAAGTAAGTAAGTAAGTGAGGTGATGGATGTGTTAACCCAAAGGGTGGGAATTCTTTCACAAAGTATATGTCTATCAAATCACTAAGATGTACACTTTATTTTATAATTTTATTTGTCAATTATGCCTCAATAAAGCTGAAATTTAAAGGAAAAAGCAAAATATTTTCTACTAAAAGATATTTTTTTATATGTGAACCCCAAGATTTTTATTCTTTACGAAGATCTAAAGAAATGACTTGGAAAACAGAAAAAATTAACTAGTTTAATGATATATTCATACCTTTAACAAATTCTCAAATAGGCTGAAATCATGTTACAACATTACTTTCTACAGACTGCAATTCTGAATGAAATTCTGTAAAAATCTGTTAATTTTAAACTCTACTCAAGGGAACTTATTTATTGAAGAAACTAACCTTGTTTTAATTTATTATAGCCCAAAAATGAACCCCAGTACAGTACTAAGGGGCAGAATTATATCTTAAGCAAGCTTGCATTTGCTTTGCTTAGCACAGATTATAACACTGAGTGCTCAAACAACATTTTTAGTTGAATTAATACTAAAGATTAAGGAACTCAAAGTTTTTAAAGACGTCATCTCATACTTTGCTCTCTTCCGCATTTAAAAAAAAACATGTTAGTAAAAATTCATAATGCACTATTATGTAAAAAAAAAATTACAAATAGCTTTTACTAATTACGTGCGAGTGCTTAAGGGCAGAGGAAAATACATATATTACATGGGGGATGGGGACATGGAGAGGAAGGTGTACTCCCTTTTAACGACAGCTGAAATAGGGGTTTCCTATGACTGCCAAAAATGCTTTTAAAAATATTAACATCTACTGAACAACTATGGTTTAACTGCTTTGTTCAGATTTTTTTTTTTTAGAAAATGCATTCTAACTACTTATCCAGCACAGTGACTGCGTCTTAGATTCAGTGAAATACTTTGGTTCCTTAAAGGGAAGTTTGTAAATGCAGTAACAGTAGCAGTACAACATAAATGAGCCACATAAAATTAGAACATTTTATTATCTAATTTGCCTTTATTGGGTAATTCCTTTCATCTAAACATCTCACAATGTTTTTACAACATTAGCGTAAGAATCACTTCATCTTATGAAGAGTAGATGGCAAGTTTTAGAATTACTATAGAAATTTTAACAAAATACGTGTTACTTTTTAAAGGTCTCAGAAAAACATTAATTTTTATAGATTTATAAAGCTTACTCTAGACATCATTCTTATATATAGTATAAAACTAAAATGCAGTTTTATATAAGGCAGAATTTTACCAAATGTTACCTACAAAGACATTTAAAGAACCTCAGAGGGAAGGTGGGGGTGGGTGGGGAGAGATTAATCAAAGACTTTATATGCATATATACATAACCCATGGACAGAGACAATGGTGTGGTGAAAGTCTAGAGTGGGGAGTGGGTTGGGGGGGTGGAAGGGGTTAATGGGAAAAAAAGGGGACATCTGTAATATTTTCAACAATAAAGTTAAATTAAAAAATAAATAAAGGCAGTATTCTGTTAGTAGTATTTAAAAAACAACCACCAAAAAAACTTCCTAGAAAGCAGACTAGATAATAGGCATTGGTGAAAGCAGACTAGATAATAGGCAAAGGTGAAGACTATTTCAGAGTATGTGTCTTGCTAACTTTAGGTCAAGCACAAATACTTTGAGATAACCAGTTAAAGTATAATTCATTTACACAGCATTTACAAAATTAGGACAACATTCTGACAAGGAATCATGAAAAGGCAGAAATGGGGGGGAGTGGAGCATCAAATTTAACCTACTTATATTCCCAGCTCAGTTTCCTCACATGTAAAATGGATTTACCATCTATCTTATAGCATTAATGTGAAGATTAAGTGCTGAATGCCTGGGTCCAAAGTGGGCCCTCAATACATATCAGTTCCTCCACAAAACAATAATGGTCAGATCTAAGTCACTCTTGGTTTAATTATATGAGGCTTCATGAAACAAGGGATAAATCTTAAAGTACATCCAAAAGGAAATTTCAGATTTGTATCTGAAGGAGAGAAAAAGTATATGTATAAAGAAATGAGCCACACTCCTTGCCCCAACTCTACTCCCACCTCCAAATTAATACCATATAGTGAATTATAGGCCCACCTACCTAAGGACCTAAAGGTGAAGGGAATGAAAGGCAAGAGAACATTTAGGATAAGAAACAACAGAGATTCAATGACATGGAAGAATAGATCAGACTGACGAATGTCAGAGGGATGGAGGAGGGCGGGTGGGTGGAGGGGGA